GCCTCTGCTTCCACTTCAGATGAATCTCTCTGGGCTCCTTTGATCGGTTCCATCACATAGCGAGGGTGGGGGGCCGTTGATGTTGTCCTGCGGGATGGTGTGGGTGGGGGGGTGTGGGGTCTGAGTTTGGAGTATCCGGATGTTCCCTGGAGGTGGGTTCACTGGGGGTGTCTGGGACTGGGGGCCGTTGCCCCCCTCTGGAGGTGCTTGGGTCGCCTCGGGGGGTGGAATGCTGGCGGTTGTGAGTGGGGCCCCTTGGGGATCTTGGCGGCGGCCATGGGTCACTGCCTGGCGGCTGCAATGCCCCTGGGCGGGTCTGGGTGGGGGCCTGGGGGCTCGGGGTTTGGGGGTGGCCGGCCCCGTGTGGGGATCTGTGCGGGGCCTTGGGGGTCGGGTCCTGACATGTATGCTGCCGGGAAGAAGGCAGGGACATCCAGCAGTGCCTGGCCCGGGTTCGGGGGCCTCAGGTAGACCTTGGCTCCTCTGCCGTTCCATCACAGGGGAGGGGGAGGTCCAGGAGGGGGAGGACCCAACCTTACCTGGATGTCCAATGTCGTATATATTCTGGAAGTTGTGCAAATGCAGGGGTGGGCATAGATATTCTGCTGGGGTGGGGCTGGGTTGGTGCCCTCGGACTCCGTGAGGCTCTGTAATGCTGCTGCTTTGGGCCCTGGCAGGATGGGCTGGGGTCTCCATGCCCTGGGTGGCAGTTTGACAACAGAGGTGCCTATTGGGGCCAGTAGGGGAGCTGGCTCCCTGGAGGGCTAAGCCCAACCAGCCATTCCTCCCCATCCCCGCATATTTCTCTCCTCCTGCTCCCTCACATCATCACACAAACATACACATAGGACCTTGGGGGGTAGGCAAGTCAGGGAGTGCGGGTATGGACCCCATTTCCGCATTCCTGAGGAAACCTGCCCCCCAATTTTATTTGCACCTTATACACTTCCACTGACGACATTCCACTCAAACAGACACTTAGGGCCTTGGGAGTGAGCACATTCAACGGCATTTGGCAGGGGGATATTTCAGCCTCCTCCCGAGTGCCGGTGCCCACTTCCAATTTTAAACCGCACTTAGACACTGATGGCTGAAGGGGTAAGTGGGGTGGTGCAGTGGCATCAGCTGGCATATGCTGGACGATGCCTGCACTGCCCACTCGCCACAGCCATGGAATACACCTCATGATCACACAACACTATATTGGAGCAGGCGGAGGGAGACTAGGGGTCTTAGCCACCTCTGTTGTTGCTAGGCTTCCTGGGGCTGGAGGCTAGGAGGGAGATCTGGCCGTCTGGTTGGGGTCTGGGGTGGTGGGTTGCTGTGCTCAGCGTTGGGCGGGGGAGCCTGCTCATCAGCACCCCAGCAGAAAGGGTCAGACTCTGGTTACCGGTGATGGTTGTACCCAATGTGCAGCAGTACTGGGACCAGAGTGAATAGGGTGTGTATGGGGAGCATGAGTGGGTGTCCGGCGTGCATTTTTGTAAGTCTTGGGTTGTATGTGCATGTGTGAGCATGAGGGAGGGAGTGTGTGACTGTGTTTGTGTATGATTGTATATGTCAGGTGGGGCCTTTGGGTCCTCCCCTCTCCTGGAACTTCTCTTGATGATATAGATCTCTGTCCCCCCTCCCCCTGCTACACCTGGTGTGGGGGCTTGTGCCTTAGTCTGCCTGAGTGTTCGTGGCAACCGGGTCTGAGGGTTTAAGATTTTGGCATGTGCCTGTTAGATCCCGGTGGCTGCCTGGTGGGGTCTGGGTCCCTGGGGCTCTGCTGGGTCCCCGGCGGGGGTGGTCGCCCCTGGGTCCCGGGTCGCTGGGTCCCGGGCTCGGCCGGCTAGGGGGTGGGAGGCTGCGGGCGGGCCTGTGGGCTTGCCGCTGATGTCTCCAGGGACTCTGCCGGCTGCTGGTTGTGGCCCCCCGGGACGATCCTCTGTGCCTCTCGAGGGGGGCGGGGGCCTTCCTGGTTGCAGTCTCCTTGGGGTTCCTGCGTTCTGGGCAGCGCCTGGATCTCTGGGACTTGGAGCTCCCCCCGTCTCCTGCGCATCTTTGGGGGGCGGATCTGTGGTCCCTCACACTCTCTGTTGGGCGCTCCTATAGAAAAACCTTAAATAAACAAGCGCGTGTACACACACAGGTGCTCACACGGTGCTCTCAAAAGTATGGGCTTGGGCACGTTAAACACAGGTCTTAAGACTATGGTGGGCACTTAATGCGTTGTGATTTATTATTGTGATTCTTCAGTTAAGCAATGTTGATTATATATATATAATTCTTATTTTCATCAAGTTGACGCAGTGATAGGTAGATCTTGTTGTATTGTTGTTGTGTCCCTTTTTTGTGTCCCTTTGTTGTTTTTTTTAATCTCTTTTTCTGCAGGTCTAGAAGCAGACTCTTGTTCATTTTTGTTTATTTTTGTGGAACCCCCCCCCCCTCTCTCTCCCCACCTTTTCTTTTCCTTTCTCTTTCACCTCTGTCTCCGTGTCTGGTCGGAATTACAAAGCATTCAACAACAATAACAATAAAGTTTTAAGTATCAGGCGTGACATTAAAAGCAAACGCTTTGATGCTCCACCTGAGAATAAATCTGTAAGGCTTGTCACCAGCATTCAGACATCAATTCTGCTTGCTTCACAGCCAGACAGGACACGGTAAAAAAAAAAAAAAAAAAAAAAAAAAAAAAAAAAAGGAAAATAGAAAAGGAAGCTGCTGTTCTGGTAGTGCTTGGAAGGTCATTCCACATTTGTGGAACGATGCATGAGAAGAGTCTGGATTGTCCTGAGCGTGGTGTCGGCACTGCTAGCCGACCATCCTGTCGGCTAGCAGTGTGTGTGATAGGTGGAGGACAGTTTGATAATTGTCCAGAGACAATGTGGTCGTCCGGTGGAAATGACGGATAAAGCTGGGCGTTGTCTGCATAGCAGTGGTAGGAGAAGCCATGTGATTGAATGATCTCACCCAGTGAGGTGGTGTATATGGCAAAGAGAAGAGGTCCTAGTATAGAGCCCTGGGGGACTCCTGTGGCAAGATGGTGCACGGTAGAGGATTGTCCAAGCCAAGATACAGTGAATGATCGTCATGTGAGGTACGATTTAAACCAGGTATGTACTTTATCTGTGATGTCCATGCTAGAGAGTGTGGACAAAAGGAAACCATGGTTTACCGTGTCACATGCAGCCGATAAGTCGAGCAGGGTAAGCACTGAAGATTTGGCAGTCGCTCTAGCTTCTTTTAAGGATTCAGTCACTGCTAACAGAGCAGTTTCAGTGCAGTGGCCCTTTTTGAACCCAGACTGGTAAGGGTCAAGCAGACAGTTTTGTGAGAGGTATTCTGTGATCTGCTTGAAAGCCACCCTTTCAATGATTTTGGACAGAAAAGGGAGGAGAGAGATAGGTCGGTAGTTCTCCACATGATTTGGAGGAAGAGATGTTTTTTTAGCAGCGGTTTAACCTGAGCATGCTTGAGAGAGGCGGGAAATGTACCGGATGTCAGTGAAGCGTTGATCACATGTGTGACTGCTGTGGCTACTGTAGGAGCAATAGCTTGGAGCAGCTTAGTCGGAATGGGGTCCAGTGGGCATGTAGTAGGGCGGCTGCACGTGAGAAGCTTGGACACACAGTTCTCAGTGAGAGGGGAAAGAGAGGAAAATGAAGCAGCAGGGCTTGAGATGGTTGGGCTAGAAGGGGTTTGTGGTAGCGAATGTTCAGGAGTGGCCAGCTGAATAACGCTGGGGACACACCGGTCGCGGAAGCGCCGAGAAGCGAATCGCTCACGAAATTCGGCCGCTGCTCGCCGCTCCTCAGTTCAGATCAGACGCGCCCCAGTCGAGGCGCGCCTCGGCTCAGCTGTAGTTTTTCTTTTAAACACTTGGTTTCCTCCATTTCCTCTCTGCCTTTTCTCAGCTTTCTTCCTTTACGTTTGTGTGTGTGTGTGTGTGTGTTTCTGCCAGTTGAATCTCTTAGAACCCGCTCCAATTCTGCAGCTGTATGCAGTTTCTTCTGAAATGGGTACGTAAATAACCATGTTTTTCGGGGGTCGTACAGCTCCTTGTGTTTCCTAACTTCCATAATTAATTTAAAGTCATCCATCTTAACTGCTTGCCTTAGACTTTCTGCCTCTCTGTCCTGTTTGCTCCGGTGAAAAGACACCCAAAACCACACTCCCCCCTTCACGTGGTCACACACGCACACAAGTTCGATGTGTGTACGTGTTCGTGTGGTTTTTCTGCAGTGTCTGTTTACGAACACATTTGACTGTTGCAGAATTTTATTTTGAAATGCTTTATTTTGTTAACTTTACCAGCCTGCCTCTTATGTCAAGGTTTGACTTCCTGCCAGAATTGACGCGATTCATCCGCGGCTCGCGAAAAAAATAGAGCCGACGCCGAAATGATCGCTGCATGGCGCGGGCTGGAGCGCCGGCACGAGGCGATTCGCGGCGCTTCGGCGGCCCATGTGGTCTATAGAATAGCTTAACAAGGGCGCCGAATGAAGGCGGTCCCATTTTCGCGGCGCTTCCGTGGCCAGTGTGTCCCCGGCGTTAACTGTTTGCTTATAGCTGCCACTTTGTCAGTGAAGAATGAGGCAAAGGTGTCAGCTGATAGATTGTTGGTAGGAGGTGGAGACGGAGGGTTGAGCAGCGTTTTGAATGTTGAAAATAGTTTCTGAGAGTCGGTAGAGCTGAGAATTTTGTCAGTGTAGAAAGCTTTCTTTGCATCAGTGATGCTGGCAGAGAATGAGGACAGTAATTCATGAAATTTCAGTTGATCACCAGGATCTTTTGTTTTGCGCCATTTCCGTTCCGCTGCTCTAAGATTGGTGCGTAGAGACCGAAGGGCATCATTTAGCCAAGGGTGCGACTGAGAGGATCTAGCTGGTCTAGTGGCTAAAGGGCACAAATCCAGAGTTCATTGTGCTGCTGCAGGATTCAAAATCCACTCGGTAAAACATTTTATAGCAGTGTGATAAACACTGGCTGATTTTATTGTGTTTTGTTTTTTGTAGTGGTCTTCCTGATGGAGTGGAGACTGACATCATCGCAACCATCAAGAAAACCTTTAACTTCAGCCAGAGCGATGCCATCCATCTGTTCCAGACTCTGATGGAATGCATGAAGAGTAAAGAACTGGTAAAATCAGAGGCTTTTTAATCACATCTGGGCTGTTTACATGTTAAATTTACTCTTTAATTCCCTTTAGTTCTGCAGTAAAGGCAACATTTTCAATAGTCTCAAACTGATTCAACTACAAGTGCGTAAAAACCAAAAGAGGGATACGGGGCTCTCCCCTGTCCTATTCACTGTTCACACCTTTGATTTTACTTCCCACACCAGCAGCCGTCATCTCTGGAAGTTCTCCTGTGACTTTGCCAGAATCCGCTGCAGATCTGAGGGGAACAATCTGAAGTACATCTGGGATTTTTGGCCCATTTACACTACCATACCATACCATACCATACCATAGCAAGTTTATTTGTATAGCCCATTTAAACACGGCATGAGAGCTGACCAAAGTGCTGAACAACAGCACACAATAAAAACAATCAAAAATTAAAACTAAATCCATTAAAATCGAGTAATTCAAATCGAAAAGAAAAGGAGAAAGAGAATAAGTTAGACTGAATTAAACGCCAAAGAATAAAAGTGAGTTTTTAAATGAGACTTAAAAAGGGAAAGAAAGGAAGAAAGTCTGATCAGGAGGGGCGAGTGGTTCCAGAGCTTTGGTGCACAAACTGAAAAGGCGCGCTCCCCGCGGGATTTACAGCAGGAGCTAGGGACATGGAGGAGGTGCTGGTCGGCTGATCTGAGGGATCTTGTAGGGACATAAGGATGAATGAGCTCAGACAAGTAGCCAGGTGCAAAGTTATTGAGGGATTTAAACACAAAAACCAGGATCTTAAACTCTATCTGGACATGGATGGGGAGCCAATGGAGATTTTCCAAAACCGGTGTGATGTATTCTCATTGCATGGTGCCAGTCAGGAATCGAGCTGCTGCATTCTGCACTAGCTGAAGTCGAGCGAGAGTGGAGGAGGAGATACCATTGAGCACTGAGTTAGAGTAGTCGAGACGGGAGGTAATGAAGGCATGGACAACTGAATGGAGATGACACCTTTTTAAAATGGGCTTAACTTTAGTGAGACGCCTCAGGTGGTAAAAACAGGTCTTAACTACCTGGTTTACATGAATGTCCATTTTTAATTTAGCATCCATCACAACCCCTAAGTTTGTGGCCCGGGTTTTCAACCCACTTGTGATAAAAGGAAGGGTCAGCTGGGGGCTTTGAGAAGTCTTAGGGCTGAAATTGATAGCCTCTGTCTTGGCATCGTTCAGCAGGAGAACGTTTTCAGACAGCCAGCTCTTCACATCATTGCAGCATTCAACAAGGGGCGGTAAGGAGTCATTAGGCTTCACAGAGGCATATAATTGGCAATCGTCTGCATATAAATGGTAGTCAATGTGGTGTTTTTTTTAAATGTCACCAAGGGGCAAAATATATAAATTAAATTACTACCGTCAGCTCTGTCTGACTTTGGTAGATTCATTGCATTTACATTGGCCTTGTTCAAGCTAAGCCAACCCAACACACCCACCTAAGGACTGATTAGCCAGCTGAAGTTACATTACTCTCATACCTACTAGTGGGAGCGTCTGGTTGGCATGGGTAGAATCAGTCAGCTGCAACTTTGCATGTGTGCAATTATTACAATCTGGGTGCTGTGATGCAAACATCCTTTCTAACTGAAGCTCGGATCAGGCGATCTGGCCACAGCAGAACAAGAACTACCATCTGCTATAAGTGCTCTTGGATGGAAGAGCCCATGGCAGCACCGCTGCTCAGCGAAAGTAGGAAGCTTTGTGCTTCATGTCAAAGTCTCCAAAAATAAAACACAGCTCACGTCTGCTTATTTTATTTTATTTTTTTACTAACTTGAGGCGCTTGCGGAGGACACAGCGGTCTTCTTTGCACCTCTTCAACAGAGCCCACTCATGTCTGCATTCCTGGGAAGGCTGTGTAAACACAACCTGGCCACACAGGGGTGGGCTGTCCCCACTTGGCCATTTGTAAAACTGTTGAGAGCTTAACTCACTAAAGTTGTCATTTGCATTTTTTTTTTTTTTTTACTGGGCGGGCGTCGGAACGAGCCCCAGCACCGTGAGAACAAACAAATCTTCATCCGTGTACGTCACACATCACTTGATCAGGAAGCAGAAAATCCATGTATTAGGAGATCATTTTGGGCCGCTGCTGTGAACAAAGTGAGGCACGAACCTTAAAAGCTTCTGCCGCTCACAATTTGACAACTGATAACAAAAGAATGGATAAAGCTAGAAACTTGCTCCCTCTTCCTGATAAGAAGTGAGTCTACTCTTAAGCTACGTTCACACTGCTGGCCTTGATGCTCAATTCCGGTTTTTGAGTAAATTTTTTTGCATGGCTGTTCACACTACGACTGAAATGCGACATCAAACTCTCTCCAGCGTGAACGCCTCACGGCCTCAAAGTGACCAGCATGCGCAGAAGACGAGAAGTCACTCTCTTTGAAGTGGTACCAGGAGTGGCGGAGTTGTGATGTGAAAACCTTCACTGACAGTTCATCCACAAGATCAGGATCACACCTGTCAATTTGTTTGTTTTGGGCTGGAAACTGTTTTAAAAACTTTAAACAATTTTACTCCTTATTCCTCCATCTTCTTGAATCATTATTCACCAGTTTTAAGTTCATTCACGGATAGCCCCCGCTCTCACGGTAACCTCCACCCTTCACTTCACGGAGACAAAGACCGGTGAGACACTTCACTTCAGCAGCACCTCCCGCTCCCGTTATCATGCTCTTTTGTATTTTTAATTCCAAAACTTGACAGGATTTCCAGATAGACTCCTGAATCCTTCTGTCAGAACTTCTCCTCAGGAACACACGGGCGTCGGAATGAGTCCCAGCACCTTGAGAACAACAATAATAACAACAACTTGACATCAGTCATGGAGAGGAGGGAACAAGGAGTGGACGGTAGAGAGGGGGGACGGGTGCAGGGAGGGTGCTAGTTAAGAAGATGCTCTCTGAATAGCAGGGTCTTCAGGAGTTTCTTGAAAATTGAAAAGGAAGCTGCAGTTCTGGTAGTGCTTGGAAGGTCATTCCACATTTGTGGAACGATGCATGAGAAGAGTCTGGATTGTCCTGAGCGTGGTGTAGACACTGCTAGCCGACCATCCTGTGATGACCGGAGCGGCCGGGCCGAGACGTAAGCCTTTGCAAGAGGATTCAGGTAGATGGGAGCCGTACCGTCTTGGACAGCATAGTTGGCATTTAAAAAAACAGCAAAATATAACAGCAACATCCCAAAACAAGAAAGAGCAGCAATGGCTACACTGGCCAAAATCTAAGATATCATCATCCTACCAGCTGTCAAGGGAAGAACTACAGTAATAATGGACACATTCAAATACAAACAACATATGGGACAAATGTTAAGACAAAAACATACAAACCATTGTAGCAATTAATGCATATTAATTATGACCAATAAGATGTGATATTCCATACAAATATGAAATATCAACCTGATTGATCTTTGAATGTTTAATCAGAAGATTCTAGGGTTCGTTGCTTATTCAAGGACCCTAAACACACTTGAGAGTTGGTTATTGATAAAAACCTCATCAGACACCAGTATGCAGGCTTACGATACCCTTGTATGAGTTGCTCCCTGCGGTCCGGAGGGTTGCGGTCAGAGTGGTGAGGTCACCGGACATCAAAACTATGATACTCAGAGATTAGTAGCTTTCTCTGAGTTCAGCTTCCCCAGCCATGAGATGCAAGCTAGGGTCTGCAGATTAGGTGTGAAGTAGCTCTGAAAAGAGGTGTTGTGTCTGTAGTCACTTGCAGCGTCGCAGAAAGGTTTTGACTTAAGGTCAAAGGAGATTGTTTCAAAAGAGGCATCTTTCCCGATTTGGCCGAATCGGGGCTCGGCTGGAAACTGAATTAATCGGGAAATAAATCCTGTTTTAATAAACTCATTATTTATCATTTCTGGCGTATTCTGGCAAATCAGAATGTGCCATGTCTGGAAGGCATTACCAAAACATTCCTCAGAAAGCCACGCCTTCCTTCAGATACAAAATTCTTAATCTTAATATGTATCTTATTGTAATGTGTATGATTATGATTAACTTGTTAAATCAAACACATAGTGATTTGTGATATAAATGGATCGTTGTAAGAACAATATTCATTTCTAATTCATTGATCTAAGCACAGATTATTCAAATATTTCATCTAAACATCTTGTTCATTCATCACATATGATTATTGTAAGCTTATGAGTTGTAAAGGTATGGCATCTTCACTTGTTCAGGGTGAAGATTGTTGATGTCTAGCATTCATGCAGAAAGTGTAGGACCTTGGGAGAGAATGTTTGTTTGAATGTTTTGTCTTCATGGATTGTCAACACGCGCTGAACAGAATCTTCTGGTTCTGGAAGGCCAAATAGAAAATGGATTTATGCTGTGGACGAAAGATTATGTTGATCAATATATAGGTGAAAATCGACCCTTTTGGACGTTACACAATTAAAAAAAGACCCTACAGAAAAAACAAAAAAGAACATGAAAAAAAAATCTTAACCGTTAGTGGAAAAAGGAAAATTTACAGAAAACATGTACCAACTATGGATGCCGATGGCAAACATTCTACCAAGATTATATGGAACACCCAAGATACATAAACGGGACACTCCACTGAGTTGACAGCATAGGTACACCCACATACAAAATAGCAAAAGAAATGAGCAGAATCACCAGTCTGCTATTAGGCAATACAGACCAACACTGTCAAGTCCTGCACTCTTTTGTGCCTTCCCACTTGAGAGGGATAAACATCCACCCAGAGTTAAGGAACTGGATTTCACTCAGAGACTGAAACGATGCTTTACTTTTGCTTTTATGTTTATTTTTCAGCATGTCAGCTCGGATCAGGTCAGGTGAAAAACCTTCAAGCAAGCAAACATATACCCTTAAATTAGTTTTGCATAGTTTTACATCATTATTTTTAGCATAAACTTTATACAGCATTAACAAACACCATATAATAATCAGTAATATCAATAATACATCTACTATTGAAATCTAATCACAGAACCCAAAAATGGACAAACCATTTTGGGAGCAGATGTATCACCATATGAAATATTAAGAAACCCACCACAAACAATTTGCCACAAGCATTTTCTGATTCTATAAATAAAGAAACAGAGTAATTATCTCACTACTTGGCAAATAACCACAATGTTATGGTGAAACCAAACAAATCCCCCAGAATCTCAATTGTTTGGGCCATGCCTAGGCAAACAATCAGGTCAACAGTTTCTTATTTAACTAGCAGCAAAGTCCATACACAACCAGCACATGTTATAAATGTATCTTACCGGCGGTCTATCATTGTACCAGTGGCGAAGAAAAAAGCAACGAAAGAACTAAATGATTTCCGTTGGTTGCTCTAACATCAGTCGTTATGAAATGTTTTGAAAGACAGATTAAATCCATGATAGCTGAAAGGGTTCGTGGTGGGACTGACCCTCTGTAGTTTGCATATTAGGAGTGCAAGGGGGATGAGGATGCTACAGTGACTCTGTTTAACCTGCTACTCAAACACCTGGAAGGAAAGAAAACACACGCTAGGCTTGCTTTTATAGACTTTTCATCAGCGTTTAACACAGTCCACCTATACATCTTGGCACGGAAACTCTTGACCATTTTAGGATTGGATCCCAGCTTGGTCAAGTGGATTTTAGAATTTTTAACATGTTGGCTTCAAGCAGTCATGCCATACCAAGATTTTTGTTATTAGAGAATAACAGAAGATGTTTTCAAAAGAAGTTAAAGCTTTTTTTTTGTTTGTTTACACAACAGTAAATTTTGCACAGTGAATTGTAAATGTGACTGATATGACAGCTTCTATAATTTTTGTTTATTATGGATGTGATGTGATGTGATTTTTGATTCTGGGATAGTTATTTATTGCTCTGTGTAAACTCCATTTTCACTTTCACTTATTTAGATTTTTCATGAATGCTGAAGTGTGTGGTAAATTACTGGTATATTATTATTGCAATTGAGCTGGTATGATTATAATGAGCTCCTGGAGTTTGTTGTTGTTGGGTGTGTGTGTGTGTGTGTGGGGGGGGGGGGGTGTTTTGTAAAATATTTCTAATGAAATTGAAAGAGACCTCAGGAAGAATAGCTCCACGCTATGGTGGAAGCTAATGAGGTTCTTAATAAATAAAATAAAAAGTAAAAATAAATAAAATAATTGGGATTTTATCAGATCATTAGTCATCTATAGGGTCCCCACAAGGCTGTGCACTCTAAAAATTCTTGTACTTTTTTTACACAAATGACTGCATAAGCAAATTTGATAACAGGCATCTTATTAAATTAGCTGATTATACAGTTATGGCCAGTTTGTTGATGAAATGAGAAACTCAACATGGCCCTGTTATTGGCTATGTTGTTGAGTGGTGTGAGGAGCATCATCTCATACTGATCAGAAGAAAAACAAAAGACATGGTGATAGATTTTAGGATTACCCATGACCCGGCTAGCCCTCTAATAATCCAGGGATCCACCATCAAAAGAGTAAATAATTACAAGTACCTGGGTACGATAATTGACAACAAACTCAGCTTTGACCAGCACATACCGGCAATCTGTTGGAAGGGTTTGTAAAGACTATTTCTTACGAGGGTTGAATCTTGTTGGTATGGATTGGACCCTGATGATTTTTTTCTACAGATCTTTTATTGAATCAGTTTTAACATTCTGCTTGATTGCCTGGTTTGGCAATTGGGGGGGGGGGGGGCGGCACCAGGCCCCTTGATAAGGGCTGTTAGGTCTCTGTATGACAGGTGTGAGAATTTGAGCTGCATTGCTGGCAGTAAGTCGGGCTTTTTTTTGTGAGAGTTTGACTACACCAAGGCTGCCCTTTGTCACCGATTCTGTTCATAACTTTTGTGGACACGATTTCTAGGCACAGCCATGGTGCCGAGGGGTTCTGTTTTGGTGGCCAACGGGTCAGTGTTCTGCATTTTGCAGATATTGTCCTGTTGACTTCATCAGATAGTGATCTACAGCATTTGCTGGAAGGGTTTGCAGCCCAGTGTGAAGCAGCTGAGATGAGAATGAGCTCTCTGGGTCAGGATTGAGGTCCTACCCCAGGTGGAGGAGTTTAATTATCTCAGGGTCTTGGTCATGAGTGAGGGAACGTGGGAGCGTGAGATCGATAGGCGGATTAGTTCTGCGTCTGCAGTGATGCGGGTGTTGTACCAGTCTGCTGTGGTGAAGAAAGAGCTGAGCTGGACCTAGGGCTGCCACAAACGACTATTTTGATAGCCGACTAATCGCCAGGTTTGTTGACAATTAGTCGGCTAATCGTGGCAGCCCTAGCTGGAAGCCAAAGCTCTCCAAGTACTTGTTGATCTACGTTCCTACCCTCACCTATGGTCACGAGCTTTGGGTAGTGACAGAAAGAACACGATTGCGGATACAAGCAGCCGAAATTAGAGGAGCCATTTGATGTGGCATCTTTTTAGTCTCCTCCCAGGTGAGGTTTTCCGGACACTTCCAACAGGGAAGAGAGCTAAAGAAACACCCAGGACACATTGGTGGGACTGTCTTTCGGTTGTCCAAGGAACACTTTGAGATTCCCCTCAAGGAGGATGGATAGATAATAATAATAATGGGAGCTGTGCAGCTTTGGATTATTCTGACATATTGATAGATCAACCCTTCTCAGAGACCTAGTGGTGTGGAGGAGTGTCCGCCCAGGGACTGGGAGATCGGGGTTCAAATCCCGGTCGGGTCATGACCAAAGACTTTAAAAATGGGACCCGATACCTCTCTCCTTGACACTCATTTTTAAAGGGTTGGATTGGCGGTTAAACCACCACATAGTAACTGAGCATAGCCACAGCTGCAGCTCCCCACAAGGATGGGTCAAATGCGGAGATGAATTTCACCAGTGTGCGATGACTAATGGGACTTAAAAGCCAACGTGGCTCCCACGAAAGTACATTTATTGTATTTTTTAATGCATACTACTCATAACGGATATTTTAGTGCAACAGATACATTTCATATGAACTTTCTGCCTACAGCCTTGAGGAGTTTGGTGTACAGCTCTATAGCAGTCAGACATCTGGAACACATCTGTGGGAACCTGATTAACAGTGCGATCATGTTTCTTTGTAAACAGATCACAGTGTTTCACATCAGCTCTGAGGATCACCAGGACATCGATGTAGCCATCCTGAGAGCTTTACTCCAAGGTTTGTAACCACCTCTGCTCTAAGTTGACTTTTGTCCTTCAGCTTTTCTGTTTTAAATAAACTCAACACAAATGCAACTGCTGTCAATCTGCTGGTCCTGACTTTGGCCTGGGACTGGGTTGACATCATTTAGATGAAATATTTACAATGATTGGTGGTTGGGGTTTCTTTTCTTTTGATATGGATAGCCCCCTCCTGTTCTGAGATCACATGAACTTAGTTTCACATTTCTGAGCGTGTCTAAATTTTGTTTACAGAATATTTAGCTCTAAAAACATGTCAGACCGCCTCCCACAATTACTGATGTTTTGTCATCACTTGCTTTTCCAAGACATTTTTCTTGTCTAGCTCAGTTCCAGTTGATGCAGACAAAGCCAGAAATGTGTGCATTTAAATGATCAATAGTTAAGAGAAACCGCTTCACCTGCCCAGGTTGTTCCTGAGGTGCCCGCTCATGCATGTTGTTCAGCTGAAGGTGCAGCCATGTGTTCTCAGAAGACATTTAGTTTAAAAAGCGCTAAATAAAGTCCTTAGAAATATTTACTTAAATTTTCATTAGAATTAAAGAGAGTTCTGTCAGGACAGGAATTTACTCTGTTACAGTGATTGTAACTAACTGAGTTACTGCTCTAAAGCTTTACTGAACCCTTGATCCTGCTAACTTGTTTACCTGCTGGTGAGTGGACGTGCAGGTATCAGGACTGTTTTTGTTTCCCAGGGACAAATGGAACTGCCTTTGATCAGCTGGTTCTGACTTTGGCCTGGGACCGGGTCGACATTGCCAAGAATCACGTGTTTGTGTACGGACAGCAGCTCCTGGTATGCCCGTGTGTGTGTGTGTGTGTGTGTGTGTGTGTGTGTGTGTGTGTGTGTGTGTGTGTGTGTGTGTGTGCGTGTGCACGTGTGCGTGCATGCACCACCGCTTGCAGAGATGTTTACTTGGCATCAGATGAAACCCTTTAGCCCCACCCCTCTTGGCCTCTGTGGCCTGAGGGTCTGGGAGTCGTGGCCTGATGTCTTCCCAAACATTCCTATTTGCTGGTGTTTATTTAAAGCTGTAGGACTTCTGGCTCTTTTTTGGGTGACAGGATAGATATTTGTTTATTTAAAGTCTTCTTTATCATGTTTTTATTATAAATGGTAAATCTGCCTAATTTATGTGTGTGTGTGTGTGTGTGTGTGTGTGTGTGTGTGTTTAGGTGAGCTCTTTGGAGCAGGCCATGCTGGACGCTCTAGTAATGGACAGAGTGGACTTTGTGAAGCTGCTGATAGAGAACGGCGTTAGCATGCACCGTTTTCTGACCATCAGTCGGCTGGAAGAGCTGTACAACACGGTAACCCCGGTTTTACACTGAAAGCATCAGCGGCGCGGAACGGCAGCGAAACTTCACGGCTTCAAATAGAATCCATTAGAGTCTATGGAGTGTTTCAAACCAGCAGAGACGCGTGCCAGAAGCGCCACGCTGCTAAAGATAGGATCGGGTTATATTTTTGCCATGAGCCGCTTCTGGGAAGCAACAATTTCAGCAGTTAACATAGGGCTAGACAGGAAATCACACACATTTTCTGTGTAAAATCCCCAGTCATTTTCAAAATAAAAGTACTGCAGCGATACTATTTCATATATATGAAGCTTACGTGTGACCCAACGGCTTCTTTACTCACAGTATCGTTCCAGAAGTGCAGCCGTGTGTTTTCATGGCTTTAATCCTGGCAGTGGAGACGAACAACATCATATACGACATCAAACAGCGATTTCAAACGTGATTTCCTTCTTTTTGGCTTAATGGCGGAGTGCATAAACAAACTGTAACCTGAAGTCTTGAGGGATCGTGTAATCTCACAAGTCCAGTGACGAGCACAGCGAGGAAGCCATGCCGCTGCCAAGACTCTCCCGGTGTGAAAAGGACTGCTTAGACGTTTGCGAGTAAACCGTTTTGTTGCCGTTTCGCCCCGCCGATGCTTCCAGTGTGAAACTGTGGTAAGTCTCTGCTAGCAGCCAGCTGCAGCGGTAAAGAGAAGAAACGTGTGTTTAGCCTGGTCTTCTCTTCCAGAAACAACCTCCCAACAACCCAACTCTCCTTCACCTGGTTAGAGATGTGAAACAGGTAAGTGGTTATCTTTACACAATCACTTGGAAAAACTTCAATAATCTTCTAAGTGCTTGTTTGGGTGTTTTTCTTTTGTTGCAGAGTAATCTTCCCCCCAACTATAAAATCACTTTGATCGATATCGGCTTGGTTATCGAGTTCCTGATGGGTGGGACTTACAGGTGCAACTACACAAGGAAGCGCTTCAGAATCATTTACAACAATCTCCATGGCAACACCAGGGTAGGTGTTTGGACTCATTTTACTAACGAATGTCTTGAGTCTGCTAAATGTTTGCATGTTCTGCGTAGAGGTCGGCACGCCACACCGCCGGTCCCGGCTCACATCTGAGGAAGAGCCACGAGACTTTCAGCATGCAGGCTGATAAGAAGGAGAAGACGAGGCACAATCATTTCATTAAGACCGCACAGCCATACAAACCCAAGGTAAGCTCCTCAGACAGGGTGTAGAGCTTTAGTGGGCTTCCCACCATCACCCCTCTGTCCCCTCCCCAGCTGGAGAATCCCGCTGAGCAAACCAAGAAAAGAAGCAAAGAGGAGATTGTGGATATCGATGACCCAGAGACACGGCGCTTCGCTTACCCCTTCAATGAGCTGCTGGTGTGGGCGGTTCTCATGAAAAGGCAGAAGATGTCTCTGTTCTTCTGGCAGCACGGCGAGGAGAACATGGCCAAGGCGCTGGTGGCCTGTAAGCTGTGCCGCTCCATGAGCTATGAAGCCAAGAAGAGCGACGTGGTGGATGACACCTCTGAGGAGTTGAAAGAGTACTCCAAGTAAGGGTCATCTAATGAACTTTGACTTCTTCTGCATAGATATAAATGTTTATTCTGCGCTAACACTCATTGCTGTCAGTGAGTTTGGGACGCTGGCGGTGGACCTGTTAGAGCAGTCCTTCAGGCAGGATGAAACCATGTCCATGAAGCTTCTCACCTATGAGCTGAAGAACTGGAGCAACTCTACCTGTCTGAAGCTGGCTGTCTCCTCTCACCTGCGGCAGTTTGTTGCTCACACCTGCACCCAGCTGCTGCTGTCTGACATGTGGATGGGACGCCTGAACATGCGCAAGAACTCCTGGTACAAGGTTCATGCTCCGTCTACATTTTATTTTTGGTCTCAAGCAGAAAGCCGGGGGTCGTTTTAAACTTAAACATAAACTAAAGGTGCAGTAAAATCATCTGTTTCTATAAAAATGTTTTTAATGAGTTGGTCAGTTTATGAATTTGGTTCTAATCAGAAAGTGTTGACTTGCATTGTGGTCATCGCAGAACCAAAGCAGAAAAACTCCCCCTCCCCCAAACAGCAGCCCTAACCCTGACCCTGTGCCTCCAGGTGATCCTCAGTATCCTGGTGCCTCCCGCCATCCTGCTATTGGAGTACAAATCCAAGGCTGAGATGGCACACATCCCTCAGACTCAAGATGACCACCAGATGACCATGGAGGATAGCGAGCACAACTTCCAGAACATAACCGAAGACATTCAGATGGTTGGTCTCTGTGGCTGCCTCAGCAACAGTGTCAGGTCGATGACTCGATGCTTAACGATGCTTTTGTGTGGCGTCTTTGCAGGACGTGTTCAAGGAGACCCGAGCTCATGAACATATGGAGGTGAAAGATGACATGGAAACGCACGTTCGCTCCCGGAAACTGCCCCTGACCAGGAAGATCTACGCCTTCTACCATGCTCCCATCGTCAAGTTTTGGTCCAACACGGTATGTTGGTTTCATGTTGAAGCATCTCAGCAACAGCACACGTTTCTGTGTAGAAAGTGACTGTAAACACATGGGAGGCTTTGTCTAGCTACACATTTCTTTAAGGGTTTTCTGGATGGCTTTAAGAGAGCCTGAGGCTGGTTCTCAGGACCTGCTGCTGGGTTTATTAGCACAAATAGGTAGTTCAGCTCAGAGAGCAGCTGATAACATCTCTGCTCTCTGAGCTTATCTACATCTGCTCCACCCGCTTTCAGCACATCACCCGTGGGATTCAGGCTGCTGGTTTTCCATGTTGAGGTTCAGCAGCTTTGGAAAACTGCAGGGATTTATTTTCCCCTCAGTGAATTTCACAGATCCACTTTTTTCTAATGTCTTGGTGTTGAAAAAACATTTCTGTCGTTTCTTTTAATTATTTGTTTGCTTTCAGCTTTTCTACCTGGGCTACCTGATGTTGTACACCTATGTGGTTCTGGTGAAAATGCCTGTTTGGCCATCTGCTCAAGAGTGGGTGGTCATCCTCTACATCTTCACCTCTGCCATCGAGAAAATCCGAGAGGTGTGTGAAGGGTTATTCTGAACAGTTTTTAAAGCAGCCTTTAATCAACCATCAGACTGTGTTCTTTTCTCTTAGATGTTCATGTCTGAAGCAGGCAAAATAGGCCAGAAAATCAAGGTGTGGTTCAGCGATTATTTCAACGTGTCTGATTTTTTGGCCATTGTGACGTTCTTCATCGGTTTTGGCTTGAGGCTGGCTGGAGAGATGACGTTGGTCCCAGGGAGGACAGTTTATTGTCTCAACATCATCTTCTGGTACGTTCGTCTGCTGGACTTCCTGGCTGTGAATCAGCAAGCTGGACCGTATGTCACGATGATCGGTAAAATGGTGAGTCAGAGCCATGACACATAGTGTAATGTACTGTAGGTGTTCTGCTGACATTAGTAATAATAAATGCACACTGATGTTCTTGTTTTTGTTCTGAGCATTCACATTAAACAGAATAATTATCTCCAGCTGTTAACAAGTACTGTACAAGATTCTGTTATCCTGAATAGCTCCATCAGTTTCACCTCATCTTGTTTTGTGCTTTTCACACATTTTTACCCAAATCATTTCATAGCAGCAGATCTTTCAACAAAGTACTGATATAAAAAGGTTTTGTTTTACTAGCTGAAGTTTGTGTTAGGTTAGCTCGGGTTGGCAAAATTAGCTTTGCTCTAAACTGGCGATGTTAGTTAGTTAAACACATTCTCACTACCTTCGGTTATTTTCTAACGACTGATTGGTCTGAAAAGGCAAACAGACAGTTTACGTGTGCTGCTGGGTGAATTTTACTTGTTCATCTTTAAGCTAGCACATGCTAACTGAAGCTTTGCTAGTTAACATGCGTGTAAAAAAGATTGCTGTGGCTGAAATCGGATACGTTTGATTGCAACAAGAAAGCACAGTTTTTCCTCAATTTTTATTTAAATTAGATTAAAGAAAAAATGTAGGCCAACTGTTGTTCCAGTGTTTGAACTTTAGAGACATTTGTTGTTCCCTGACAATTTTAATTATTTCTGAATCTTAAATTGAAAAAGCAGAATTTTTTTTTTAATTTGCCAACAGAAAAAAGTGAAACTCCTTCCTTAAGCAGATATGATGATTTCTGCCCAAAACTCTTGTGATTTACTGGTTAAATGATACCACAAAACAACGTGTTTTTCTTTTTGACATGTCTTTCAGGTGGCCAACATGTTTTATATTGTGGTGATAATGGTTATTGTCCTTCTGAGTTACGGTGTCCCGAGGAAAGCCATTCTGTACCCAAACGAAGAGCCCAGCTGGAATCTGGCCAGAGACGTGGTTTTTCAGCCATACTGGATGATGTACGGCGAAGTGTATGCCTACGAGATTGATGGTAAGATTACAAAAAACAATCAAGAGCTTCTTTTACACGTGTCTCACTGAGACGATGGTGGCTGCTTTTCTGCAGGACCTTTATGTTTATTTGGCAGATGCAACAATAACAGTAATATTAAAGGTTGACTATGGAACACAGACAATCTGGCAAACTCTGGTGTTCAGAGGTAGAAGAAAGAAGAAAATATAATTTCTATAGCACCTCAAGATAAAAATCATGAGGCGCTTCACAAAAACAAAAAATGTAAAAATATAAAAAAGAATTTAGAAAATGGTTAAAAATATATTTAAAATGAGCAAAAAATAGACATTTGTGATTAAAAATGTAAAGAAAGAGAGAGAGTGAACAGGAAAGAGGGAAACCAGTGGATCCTGAGGAAGGTGGAATAGGTGGGGAGAGCAGAATAAAGAGAGAGAGGTGAAGAAGGTCATACAAAAGCCAGCTTGAACAAGTGAGTCTTCAGCTGCTTTTTAAAGGAGACCACTGAGTCCACTGATCTCAGGCTCAGGGGGAGAGAGGTCCAGAGTCTGGGGGCCACAGCAGCAGATGATCTGTCACCTTTGACCTTTAGCCTGGTGCTGCACAACCAGTAGGCTTTGATCACTGGACCTCAGGGACCTGCTGGGGGTGTAGGGACTAAGAAGATCGCCAATGTAAGATGGTGCTTGTCCATGTAAGGCCCTATAGACCAGAACCAGGATCTTGAAATGAACCCTGAAGTTGACTGGCAGCCAGTGAAGCTGGAGGAGAAGCGGGGTGATGTGGGTGTGTTTGGAGGACTTGGTCAGAAGCCGAGCACAGGCGTTCTGAACCACCTGTAGACGGTTCAGGGAGGTTCTGCTCAGACACGTGAAAAGAGAGTTACAGTAGTCTAAGCGTGAGGAGATGAAGGTGTGGAGAACTGTCTCAAGTTCAGAGCGGGACAGAATGGGACTCAGCTTAGCAACGTTCCTGAGATGGAAGAAGGAAGAGCCAACAAGAGAACTGACATGAGAATCCAGGGTGAGAGCTGGGTCAAAGGTCACGCCAAGATTCCTGACAGAAGGTTTGGTGTGGGAAGCAAGCTGACCAAGAGAGTCTCTGACTTTGGGAACCAGCTTGTCTGGGGCACAGATGAGGATCTCAGTCTTATCTTCATTCAGCTGAAGAAAGCTCCCACCTTCCAGGTTTTGATAGAGTCTAAGCAGGTGTGTAACAGCTGCAGCTTAGACATCTCATGGGGCTTAAAGGAGATGTACAGCTGGATGTCATCTGCATAAGGATGGTAGGAGATTCCTTTGAAGGAGCTCAGGATGTGCTGAAGAGGGAGCAGATAGAGGAGGAAGAGCAGAGGCCCCAGCACAGAACCTTGTGGGACACCATGGGTAAAAGAGGTGGTGGAGGACCTAAACTTGGAGACGGCCACAGAAAAGGAGCGCTCAGAGAGATCAGAGGAGAACCACTCCAGAGCAGATCCTGATAGGCCTACCCAGTCTCTCAGCCTCTCCAGTAGCAGGCAGTGTTGGGAGTAACGACGTTTAAGTATAACTGCGTTACTAACGGCGTTCTAACCCTAACCTAAATCCAACCGAAACGATCGGGCTGATTCAGTTCGGGTTCGGTCTCAGCTTAAATGAATGACGCGCACTTGTATAACGCCTCTCAGAGTAAGGGCTCCAAAGTGCTTTACACTACAGTGTATCGTTCATCCATTCACACACACATTCACACACTGATGGTGATGAGCTACGATGTAGCCACAGCTGCCCTGGGGCCCACTGACAGAGGCGAGGCTGCCGAGCACAGGTGCCACCGGTCCCTCCGACCACCACCAGCAGGCAAGGTGGGTTAAGTGTCTTGCCCAAGGACACAACAGCAAAATTCTCTGTCCGGAGCCGGTATCGAACCTGCAACCTTCCGATTACTGGACAACCCGCTCAACCTGTTACAACTCCAGCACTCAGCCCTGCAGTACCACATAAAGGCGGACCAAAGTTTCCTACCCAGTAAATGTGAACACCCACTCTGACAGATGTGGGTGCTACGCTGGTGCCGCAGTTAAAATAACAAAACCCCATTCCAGTATAATTTATTACTCTTCTATGACGCAGAATCGTTTATGCCCGCTTCTCATGCATTGATTATTTGATTATTTTCCTCAGCTCTATCTATCCTACACCTCCCGGTCGGCCGTCGAGGGTGGGGGTGGGGGTTGCGTGCGGGGTTTGGGGGCCACAAAGAGAGCCCCCTGGGGAGCCATTTAAGGATCACTGCTTTAGATGGTCTCTCAGTGTAGTTAAATGACTGAAATAAATATAGTTTTGTACAGTTTTCTAATGTTTTCAGCTTGACATAATTGTGTTTAGTAACATTTCTGTTGCTGCTTATTTAGTACAGGTTAAATAAATAAAACCCTTTAAAATGACACTAGAAGAGGCACAAGCCTGATGGAGGACTTACATTTACTAACGTGGGTCAGACCCAACCACAGAAGAGCTGAAGCTGGGTGGTAAACACACACAGGTAGTTCTAATAACACCTGAGCTCCATGACGTCTGAGACTGATGCATCAGTGTTACAGCGGGACTAAAGACATGATCAGAAACAGGTTACAGCTGGATGAGCTAGGAAGGTAGAAGATCAGGACGTCTGAGCGGTGAACTGGTGAGCGGACCTTCAGGACGTCCCGCTGTCACGCTAAGAAGGGCACGGCTGCAGATTCACGCCTGCAGCAGCGACTCTGCGGGTCTGCAGCTGTAACTATTCATCACGTCTTCCTCGTTCTTCACGGCTGTGATGCTCTTGGATGAAAACATCCGCCTCTTTAGCTCCCGATCAACTGATGACTGCTTCACACACCGCGCTGCTGAATTAGTAACACACTCATTTTCTTATCAAAAATGGAGTTATGGTAAAAGAAGACGGTAAGTAATTAGATTACTCGTTACTGAAAAAACTACTTTTTTTAGTAATGCTGCTATTTAAAACTGCATTGTTCCCATCACTGCATTTTAGTGACAAAGTTTTACAAGCTAATATATCTTAGTGACGATGTGTAGTTTTTAACATTGATCTATGAAAATACCCACTGAAATGTTGTAAATGAAGTAAAAGATACCCAGTTGGTGAAAATATTTGGCAGTTTCACATGTAAACATAAAATTCTGGTCTAAAATACATGGAGCAGGTCTAAGTCTCTGGGTGACACCATATTGGATGCTATGTTCCCTTCTATGGAAGCCCGTGAGGACAAAACACATTTACTGATTTGTAGCAAATAGTTACAAAACTTTCACCAACAATAAACTTTGTTTTACACATTTACCTCTTCACTTGTTGCCACAGCTACAAGGGAGTCTGATGTTCTTTTTTTTTGTTGGGGGTTGCACTCCCAGGGATTTTTGACTCTAATGGCCATCCGTTGGTAAGGTCTTACTCGAACACAAAAATAATGCTTGCTTGCAGTGATTTAGGTGTGTACTGCCCCCTATCGCCAGGGACAATACACACTGTCACTTTAAAGTACGTGACTGACATAGTCGAAACTCACATAATTTATCTGCATTTAAATCATAGCACAGCTTATGTGTCAGGCAAAGCGGATTTGAAAATAGCTTTTATAGCTCTGTTAAGGGACCCGTGAGCCAACCGGATGGGGAGGAGCCTAAGGCTCCCATAGGAATAGATGGAAAAATGTGTAAAACGGTAATATCAACACCAAAGTCCTAGACGGCATGTCCTGGACCATTTGATGTAATATGTTCATGTTCATCAACTGTGCAGAAAAAATGGTGTGTGTAAAAGAGGAATGGCTGATCTGATGGGTTATGATTATGGATGGTTCACACAGACTTGTTCCCTTCACAGTTTGTGCCAATAACAGTGAAGTAAAGGAACTGTGTGGGTCTGGAGTATGGCTCACTCCTTTTCTACAAGCTGTCTACCTCTTTGTGCAGTACATACTGATGGTCAACCTTCTGATTGCCTTTTTTAAGTGAGTATACCCCGTTACTCGCCACTCATGTTCTTAGTTAGATTTCTCTGGTGTGCTTTTGACAACCATCTTCCTGAGGCCATTTTCAAATGCTCTGATTTTCAGTAATGTTTATATGCAAGTAAAGTCCATCTCTAATCTGGTGTGGAAATACCAGCGCTACCACTTCATTATGGCCTATCATGAGAAGCCTGTCCTCCCGCCCCCCTTCATCTTCCTGTTCCATGTCTACTCGCTGTTCTGCATGTGCAGCAAGAGGAAGAAGGAAAGTACCTATGGACCAAGTAATCCTAACACTCATTTTTGCTGTTAAGCTGTTTGACTTCAGCGTCACAAGCGCCAGTAATGAGCCTCGTTTCTTTCAGAGCTGTTTCTGTCTGAGGAAGACCAGAAGAAGCTTCATGATTTTGAGGAGCAGTGTGTGGAGACGTACTTTCATGAAAAAGATGATCAGCTTCACTCGGGGAGCGAGGAGCGCATTCGCCTGACCTCAGAAAGGTTGGACTCACTTTGGCACTTGGAGACTACATAAAAAAAACAACATCGTACAAGGGCTTGATTCCTAGCCTGGCCTGCCAGACTAGTTCTCTGTTCTACACAGAGAACTAGTCTGGTAACTCAGACAGAGAGGCACATGAGAGGTGGGACAAGCTAGCTAAAAAATAACCAGCTCAAAAAAAATGAAGGAAATGCCAACTGCACCGCGCAACGCTGTAGTTTTTTAGCTGTAGTCAAAAATGGCATCTGACGACGGTGCAGACATCTTCCTTTAAAGGAAAAGCTTTTCGCTTCTTGTTGTGGTTTTAAAGATGTGTCAAGAGCCGCAGGGAACTCCGCTTAGGACGCCATCTTCATTGTTTGAGAAACTGAGCATTATGGTGTGTGACGTACACACCTCAGCTCTGATTGGCTGAGTTAGAATTCTCAGGGGGTGGGGTTATTTGAGTAGAAGAGTTCCCAGCTGGCTGGTCAGGATACATGATTATAGACTGGAGGGAACCTTCACCACAACAGAGTCTGTGTCATGTGTTTAGGTTTCATTTTGGCTCATACCGATTCAGGATCCACTGTCGCTGCATGCTTGCTTAGTATGAGGATTGCTGTAAAGACTCTGACTCTAGTCAGTGACTCGATGCAACCTGCTGGGTTCCTTAGATAGGAATCTTGTTACTTATTGGCCCAATGAAAAGAAAGAAAGATCATTTCTATAGCGCCTCTCAAGATTAAAAATCACGAGGCGCTTCACAAAAACAAAAAATTTAAAAATATAAAAAATATATCAAAAAATGATCAAAAACATGTTTTAAATAAGTAAACAATAAACAATTGTGATTAAAAATGCAAAGGAAGAGAGAGCGAGTGAATAGGAAAGAGGGAAATCAGTGGATCCTGGGGAAGGGAGAATAGGTAGGGAGAGCAGAACAAGGAGAGGGTGGTGAAGTCACACCAAAGCCTGAACAGGTGAGTTTAAAGGAGACCACTGAGTCTACTGATCTCAGGCTCAGGGGGAGAGAGGTCCAGAGTCTGGGGGCCACAGCAGCAGATGATCTGTCACCTTTGACCTTTAGCCTGGTGCTGCACAACCAGTAGGCTTTGATCACTGGACCTCAGGGACCTGCTGGGGGTGTAGGGACTAAGAAGATCACCAATGTATGATGGTGCTTGTCCATGTAAGGCCCTATAGACCAGAACCAGTGGCCTGAACGCCTTGTGTGGCTTTCTCTGTAAGAGTCAAACATACTGGATCGTTGATGCGATTATTTTTCTTGGCTTTTCTGTTTTCAGGGTGGAGACCGTGTGTTTGCAGCTGAAGGAGGTTGGGAACAAGGTCAACTTTATCAAGCGCTCCCTGCACACGTTGGACTCCCAGATCGGTCACCTGCAGGACCTCTCGGCTCTGACAGTAGACACTCTGAAGACATTGACTGCTCAGAGGGCGTCTGAAGCTAGCAAGGTTCACACCCAGATAACCAGGGAGCTGAGTCTGTCTAAGAACGTGGTCCCTAGCATTGTTCCCATGCCAACAGACTCTAAAACATCCATGATAGGCAAACGCAGCGTGGGGGCCTACTTTGGGTCCTCGTTTCCCCAAGCAGGCACCAACATGGCAGATTCTCTTTTCGGGGTCGGTGCCGAAGGCGGAGCAGGGATTGAAAGTTGCAAGAGATTTGGTCCAGGCCCCGGAACAGATCTAGGGCTCGACCCCAGTATGAGTCCAGAGAAGAGGAGCTTATTTGGGCTTGGACACCTTGTTGCAGAGGCTGGTTCCTCTGGCGGTGCCGGCTCCAGTGCCTTTGTCCCAAGTGCTGTTCCAGTTTCCCCACCAGAACTGCGTAACAGAGCCCCACCACTCTACCAGAGTAAACAAACCCGTCCACAAGAGCCACATCTCTCTGAATCGCCATCCAGCCTGCCCAATGTGCCCTCCTCTGGTGCTCCGTTCCACATCAGCAGCACCCCTTCCCAGCCCAGTGGCTCCAGCCACCCTGAACTGGCCCTGGCTGGAGTCTACCAGCAGTCCCCCCATTCCGAGCATGTTCCTGTAGAGTTTGGGGCGTTTGTAGGTGAGTATGATGATTGTAGAGTTATCAGGATAAACAAGGGGAAGGGTGTGTGTGTGTATCCTACGGTGGTGGTTGTCTCTGAGAACTCCAGCTGCATGTCGGCTTGCTGTGTGAAGCCTGAGAGGTCACAAGGGGGGGAGGGGGATGGTTGGTTGAAGCGGGGCTACGTAAATGAAGCATTCAGCCATGAAGAGGGTCAATGTGGCTCTACTAAAGGTAGGGAAGTTCTATCAGATCCAGAGGGGTCATCAACACTGGGTAACAGCCTTCCAGGGTCCCGTGACCCTGCTGTGGTGATCAGGAAACCCCACAGAAAGGGACAAGATGAGTCGGGACCAACAACCTCCCAGTGGGACTGTCTAACTGGGTCTGAAGACCAGTGTGATGAGAGGACGGTGGCGCCAGACCCAAAGATGAGAGGTTTGAGTTTTCTGCTTGGTGCTGGGGCCTCTCCATCTCTACCTCCACCTCCAGATCAAGAATCCTCACAAGGTTTATCTGGTGTCTGCTTTCTCCCTCTGCTTTCTCTGGCTCGCGTTTCCTCCTCCTGAGCAGCAGGAGTTGGTGCCTGATTCCTGAGTAATTCTTCTCTTTAATGGTAAATGTTTGTCAGGTGGAGGTTCAGAGGAATCAGATGTGATTTGTTCACTTGGTGCCGTTTTTAGAACATTTAGTGGTTCTTATTCTCTGAAAGCAGCAAAAATCTTTATTTTTGTTTTTCTAAGTGTGACTTTTTTATATCTGGACTCAGGGCATAAAGACACTCTGCACCTTCAGTCACCACCATCCAAAGAGACGTCCAGCAGACAGCAGAGCCCGAGCAGATCACAGGTGTGTGTTGCCATGACTACCATTCAGATAAACGTCTACACAGGTTTTCTGATACAGCCATGGAGCTAAAATCCTCCGTTGAAGGTGCTGGTTAAACCAGCTTCACCTGGATGTCTCTGTGTTTTAAGGATTTCCAGAAGCTTGTAGAAGAAGTCAGAGGAGGTTGTAGGGTCTAATTATCACAAAACTTTTATTAGTTCACTCTCACGTTAGTAAAAATATCCCACGCAGTTCCAGTCAATGCACTTTCAAACACCCCAATGGCCACAACCGGCCCCCAGGCCACACTTTGAAATTTTTGTCTCCATCTGCTGTTTTGTGTCCACAGACTGAAGGTCTCATCCGAACCGTCAACTCGTACGCTGGCTTCCCAGAGTTCCACAGGACCGCAACTTGTCCCCCTCCTGAGACTAGTGAGTTCATAGAACTAAACTAAGAACTTCTGAGATCCTGTCTTGGTGTGTCTCATGTTTCATGATTGTCTCTAGCTCTGACCAAGGACAGAAGCAGAGTTTCAGCCGAGGACATCCCCAGAGCTGCAGTCCTTGTAAGAACTTTGTGAAAAAGTGTCCTTTAAGTTTGTAGGTTTCTTTTTAGCTCAGTGGAGAGAGAGAAATGCACTACTAACATTTTTGTTTCTGTCCCAGGAAAGAATTCAGGTCAAGTCGGCACAAGCCAGCTCCCTGTAAGCGTCACTCTGCTGTAGATGTTTACAATCCTACCTGGTGTCTTTTGTCTCTTACCTGTCTCCCCTGTCTGTCTGTCAGGAGACCCTCCGAGGAAGAAACGCTTCATGGTGAGATCTCAGCATCATCTTTTCCACACACATCACAGTTTTACTGAAGCATCATTATTTTCACTTGCCATTCACAGCATTTGGAACTGCAGCTTCAGCAGAACAAATTAAACAATCACAGAGCTGTTTAGTAAATGGAATTGGTTAATTTTAGATAAATGATTAATCTGTAGTAGAAATAACTGTCTGCTAAGTTACATTTTATTAAAAGCTTTCTTCTTTGGTTGCAGCTGCAGCTTCTCTATACACGACGAGACACCTTCACCTGGGAGCCAGGAAGGACTGTGAGTGTCTGCAACCACCTGCACCGTAACACTGGTTTAATTAGTGGAGATACATATGTGTGTGTGTGTGTGTGTGTGTATATATATATATGTGTGTGTGTGTGTGTATATATATATATATATATATATACACACACACACACACATATATATATATATATATATATATATATATATATATATATATATATGTGGATATATATATATATATATATATATATATATATATATATATATATATATACATATATGGGATGTCCTCATCCGATCACATGATCGGAAATCGGCCCCGATCACGTGGTTTCAGACTGATCCGGACTCGGGCTTTACTTCCCAATCTGGACTCGGATACTGGTTTCAAATTACAGGAGAGCAACTTGGTTCTCCTTAAAGGTTGTCGGGCTCCCCTGATGCCTTTAACTTACACACCCAGAAGGAGCACAAAAAAGATCCAGTTTCTACCTATGTTATATTATTTATATGGACTCAGCGTAGCGGGGATTCTTTAGAGCAGAGCAGCAGGCAGGCCGCTGATTATTCATGAACTCCAGCTGCATTCTGCACACGGCCACAGTAACATTTTCTAAGTTTATAAGTGGCGTCACCAAAAATATATAATTAACACAGTCATTCCTGTCCGTTCATTTTCTCTCTGGTAAGTTCTGTCTGTATTTGAAGTATGGACGCACAGCCGGGCAGCGCACACTCCGCTTTTTTTGCGGTCAATAGATCAATTTGATCTGCTAGTTAAAAAGTTACTTGTGAGGTGAAAAAGAAGGAAGCAGGTAGGAGTTTTTCTGGAGAACTGGGAGATGCAGGAAGGTCAGAGACAGACAGGACAGGAAGATAGTAAAATAAAAACCAAGAAACATAAACAAAGTTCTTAAACAATGAAATGTAGGTAGATTTATCCCACTACACGTTTCTACCTGTATAAAGCAATAACCTATCAGCATGTAGTATTCATATAGTTGATACAATTCATATCGTCTTCAAAACTCCGTCCCATGCCCAGGGGCGTATCTAAGCCTTCGGGGGCCGGGGCAAAATAGACCCTTGCCAGGTATTTTAAGTTGAAGTGCTATCTGTTTTTATATTAGACTTTTTATATTTGCAATAAAGTCCAAAAGTGAAGAATTTGTTTTTTATTACTTGATTGTTCAAGCTACCTCACAGAAGTGATCTGTTGTTAAAAATTAAAATAAAAAGGTAATTAAATAAAAAACAAGGAACATTCTGGAACTGGTTCTTCCTTTTTTTTATTTTTTTTATGTATCAAAAGTATCGGATCGGGACTCTGTATCGGCAGATTCTCAAAATCAAATGACTCTGACACGGACTCGAGGGCAAAAAAACCTGATCGGGGCATCCCTAATATCTATCTACCGGAAATCCTCTAATACAGGCCCGGGCCTGTATTTGACTTAAGCCCATCAAGCTCCAGGCCTTTATTGGAAGGAGAACCAAAATTAGAGGCAGGCCTCTATTTCTATTTGAGCAAAATGAACTAATGTTTCGCTGGTGTTTTTGACAGTTAAAATTGCGCCCACATTTTCAAAGTTAAACACATTTCTTTTAACAACGGTAGTTTCTGCTTCAGCCCTCTCCCCCCTCCCCCTGCGCAGCGGCCGCAAACTCACTGATGCGCCTGCAGCCTCTCAGAGTTCCTGCTGCTCTAAACATTAAAATAATTATTTCATTTTCTGTTCCTCACTTCTGATTACCTTCAATGGTGTCTGTTTGTTGCAACCAGCAGGTACAAAAACTAACTTGTTTTTATTTGACTATTTTTCTGTCCTGCCTGTTTATTATCTTCCTGCATCTCCTCTCAGTCCTAAAGAGAAACTGCTACCTGGGTTCATATATATTCACCTCATGAGTTACCTTTGAACTGCAGTTCTAAAAGATCTACCGACCGCAAAAGCAGTGGAGTGCTTGCCAGTCACATCAGTTAGGTGCGTCACCGAGGACAAAACAGGTGATGCGCCCTGATCCACAGCAGCGAAACGCATCAGGCACAAATAAAACATTAAAAGACAGAAAACCTAAAAGGAAATGAGCCGACATGAACGATGGCGTGTTAAATTAGTGTTTGAGGTGGCGACACCTGATTTGATAATGTTACTGTGGCCGTGCTCAGGACGCAGATGTCTGGAGCGCGTCAACGATCAGAGCTTTGCATGCGCAAGCTGGTTAAGGTTAGGATGGGGGTGAGGGGAAGGTTAAATTGCAAGAGGGAAAAGGTCACAATTTGGTTAAATGTCCGTTTTACGGCGGTGTCAGTACCGACGCTCTGGCACAACGCGTTGCCTCCTGACACGCAGGAGCTTGTCACCTGCTGACAGCAGGCTGCTGCCTTTTCCGAGGACTGCATCTTGCCGGTCATTATCACGTAACACCGACTAGTCGATGACAGGCATAACAAGTCACTATAGAACGGTGAAGTCGACTAGTGACTTGTTCATACAACCCCTACTGCTCCCCAGTGTTCTGCAGCATAATCAGCACGTTCTCTTTGAACTTGATATCAAATTTTCGCCTCCTCTTCGTCTCCGCACGGTTAAAGTTACCCTCGCGGTCTATCACTGGCAAATCAAAAGTGAGATGGATGACACAACCGCCCCCCCCTGTGGTACTTGCTTGTTACCACATTCCACCCGGCCACAATAAAAATCCGGCCATTATTCACCTCCGCCGACTCAGACACTGGCCAAAATATGATAACCGGCAGTTAATTGAATACAGGCTAATATTAGAGGATTTACGGCATTTATATATATATATATATATATATTGTCATGAACCGAGTTCAGAAGACCCGTGAAGACGCCAACACAGTAAAAATATATTAAAAAGTCTTTATTTAATGCAGAGGTACCTGGAGGGCAAGGCTGAGGCAGGTTCAGAGGCAGGCTAAGGTCAAAGTGGCAGGCAGAGAGCAAGGCAGGGGTCAGGCAAAAAACAAGGTCCAGAGGCAAAGATCAGGCAGGGTGGATGGCTGGAGAACTACTGTTAAGGCTGTAATAATCTGGCATCTGTTGACTGGATGGCTGGTTCTTTTATAGCAGGGGAAGCAGGTGAATGGGATGAGGCTGATTACAGGAGCAGGTGGAATGAATGGAGCTGATTGAAGCTGACAGAGGTTGCTGGGGAAAACAGGGCTTGGCTGGAGCTTGGTGAGAGGACAAGGTGAAATGAATGAAGGTATAATGAGGAAGTGGAGGAGGGTGAAGGACGGGAGTCATGACATATATATAATATATCGTTCATGTTGGCTCATTTCCTTTTATGTTTTCTGTCTTTTATTTGCGCCTGATGCGTTTCGCTGAGCGGGGCGCATCACCTTGTCCTCCGGTGACGCACCGATCACTGATGCGGCCGCTAAGCAGCGAGCACTCCGCTGTTTTTGTGGTCGGTAGATCTTTTAGAACTGCAGTTCAAAGGTAACTCATAAGGTGAATATATATGAACCCAGGTAGCAGTTTCTCTTTAGGATTGAGAGGAGATGCAGGAAGATAATAAACAGACAGGACAGAAAAATAGTCAGATAAAACAAGTTAGTTTTTGTACCTGGTGGTTGCAGCAAATAGACACCATTGAAGGTAATCAGAAGTGAGGAACAGAAAATGAAATAATTATTTTAATGTTTAGAGCAGCAGGAACTCCGAGAGGCTGCAGGCGCATCAGTGAGTTTGTGGCCGCTGCGCAGGGGGAGGGGGGAGAGGGCTGAAGCAGAAACTACCGTTGTTAAAAGAAATGTGTTTAACTTTGAAAATATGGGTGCAATT